AAAGTATATATATATATATATATATAATATATATATATATATATATATACATACATATATGTAGCACCATTGTCAACTAAATACCTATATACAGATATAGGCAGACAACATATAATTGGCTTAATAAACTGCAAAAATAAAAATCTACTGTTTCAGACGTCATCTTTCCACCCTGAAAAATTTGTCCTATAGTAAGTATTGCACAGCCAACATAATCTCAGTTAATCCATTATACACGACCCACTTTTTAACTCCTTTCTATGCATGTCACTGAATTACATTCAAAATTTAATTAAACCATTTTATTATCAATGTATTTTAATGAAATTATTATTATTATTACGTATGTTATATTTCAGTTTTATATTATCTTAGTTTTTATTTCTTTATTTCTAATTTGTTTTGTTTTGTTTTTGAATTTCGCGCAAAGCTACACGAGGACTATCTGCGCTAGCCGTCCCTAATTTAGCAGTGTAAGACTAGAGGGAAGGCAGCTAGTCATCACCACCCACCGCCAACTCTTGGGCTACTCTTTTACCAACGAATAGTGGGATTGACCGTCACATTATAACGCTCCCACGGCTGAAAGGGCGAGCATGTTTGGTTGTATGCGGATTCGAACCCGCGACCCTCAGATTGTGAGTCGAGCACCTTATCCACCTGGCCGGGCCCTTTATTTCTAAAGAAACATTGAATGCAATAATGAAATCTCTCAGTTTTGTGTCATGTGTCGCATGAGCTATAAACAATGTTAAAATTTGGAAAAGTACAGTTTAAAGCATAAGGGGGTAGTCATGTACATGTAAGTCTACACAAGAATGTAGTTTACTTGTCCTTTTGACATGTATGTTTCAAAACTCTTTCACTGAATGCAGTTGATACAAAAAATAAATTTTGTCAACTCCTGGCAGGTGCCCCACCCACCTTCTACAGTTAACGTTGAACTTTAGAAGTTACGTGTATGTGTTTATAGTCATTAGAAAAAAAACAACTCATTTTACACTGTAATCCACTATAATGGTTATTTTGAAATTGTAGCCAATTTGTCATCCTTGGGTATATGTAACTTCTTGTCCTATTATTGGCCACTGTGTTCATTATAGCACTTCAGTTGTTTCTTACCTAAATACGTTATAATTAGAGAGACAGTTAAATTGTATTTAGGTTTTACTTTTATCTTTTAGTTAATTATGCATAATTTGTTTTTTAAATTCATATTTGAAAGGTTTAATAATTTTTATAAAATAACCAAAGCTTCTCCTTATTATGCAAGGCTTACATTGTCAAGCATGTATAAAAAGATTTTGCCAGAAGCTAAGGTAACTCTGCTTTTCATACTGTTCTATCACCCACAGGTACATGTTGATGTGTGTCGACATAAATAATCAATGGTAAAGAATGGCAAAGGAAATAAAATATTAAAAATAAACTATAAGTGAAAATGTAAAGACACAAAATTACACATATGACCAAAACCAGATATTTTAAGATTATTCAATGAAGAGTTAAAAGGTATGTATATATTTCTATTTCTTAATTTTAGGCATTTCATTGTACTAAACAATGATAACAATAGCTAGAGTTCAAACTGTAAAATAATAATAGTATTTTTATACTCAAAATGAAAATCCCCTTGCAGGTGATCTATTCTGAGTGCAAATAACTACATTAAATAACAAATTTTTATTAGAAATAGTAGAAAAACCAAAATCAGATATTTTATTTTTCTCAAACTACATACTTTTATGAAAGTTCTTGTCAAGTTTTAAACAATTTTATCAACTGGTTTTATTATTGGAACAAAATTTGACAAGAGTTACATAACATGCCCATTTTGTTATTGGGTTAACAGAACAGACAGAAGCTTACATTATTCAAGTAGATGGAAATTTACCTTATTCACATGGATGGAGGCTTACCTTACTCAAATAGAGAGAGACTTACCTTATTCGATCAGATGGAGGCTTATTTTATTTAAGTAGATGGAAATTTAACTTATTCAATCATATGAAGGCTTCTTTTATCAAAAAATCAAGAGCTTACCTTAATTCTTTTCATACAGGGTTGATGGATTATACAGACCTTGTAACCCCAAAGTAAGCATTAGTGTTTCCAAACTACAACTTTTGATGTGGTATATGTATTTTCACAAAGTTTTGCAAGCCTTCAGTAAATATTAAAAGTCTTTTGTACACAAAAAATCAGATTTTTTAATTAAACATTTTAACTAAAGTTTTTTTTGTGAATATATGGAGTCAGAGTGTGGACTGCTTCAAGTGTAAAGTGACATTCACGTGAAGATTACAAATACCTTTCTCCATCTGAAAATTTTCAAACTTTGTTTGTGTAAACTATAAAACTTAAATAAATATTAAACGTTTTTTTGATAAAACTATTGTATTTCTACCCCAACTATATATGGATTCTATATGAAATAAACCTAAATTACCCCTTTTCTTTCCAGAATGACTGCAAGTTGTAACATTAAACTACAGTTGTTTGTCCCAAATAACTTAAGGCTCATAACAGTTTACATCCATTTCTATTTCATTTTATTGTTTTTTGTTGCCCTTTGAACCATGTCTAACTAATAATCCTTCAATAAAAGTTGTATATCACACAGTGAATGAGTAGCTCAAGCTACATACTGTGTTGAATAATTTAATGCATGAGCTACACATGAGCATACTTCATCAAGAATTATTATTTTCATTGAATAAATGAATTATGTACAAACTGCCCAGTGTCAGCTAACAATATGAAGAATTAAATTGTGGCAAAATGCTACAAGTTCTTCAAATACCTATAGAATGATAGGTTTCTTTTTTTGTGAGCGTAAAACACTTAAATACACCAGATCGAATTATTATTTTCAGTATATTGCCTAATCTAATATAATAAGTTTCTAATTTTAACATTTTAGAAACTTTTATAGCAATAGATAAAAAATACACAATAAAACAATAAATATAGTATTTACCTTTAACCTCTTCTTTTTTGCTGTCAGTTGCAGATGAAATTTAAGCCTACTTTTTATACTGATAGTGCTAGTGCACTAAATAATCTAAATCTAAACTAAATAACAACACAGAATACTAATAATAAGCACAAAGCAGAAACAATGTCCTATAACTATTATAAATTTAACTGGCTTTCTAATTATGGTAAAAGAGCCTTAAAATATTTCCTCAAGCTTATCAATCTGAACACCATAAGAGAAACATTTGAACCGAGAAAAATAGACAATACTCTGTACTAAAACCAATGTAGCTTTATACACTATTCAAACAGAGTAAAACTTGTCTTTCTATTGGTTATAAATGATATAAAATGTCAGAGAAAATTACTGGCAATGTGTAAAAGAAAGGATGATACAGGTGGGCATGGTAAGTGGGTCTGATGTTCTAGTTTATGGCTCTGTAAACAAATAAGATTGAGAGGCTATAAAAATTATGTTTTGTTTTAGTAATATTTATATTATAATGATAAATTTACATTAAATTCCATAATTCAGAAAGGGGTGGTAAATAAATTACGGAAGACTGAGAATTAAGTATTTTCTTATGAAATTAAAACTTAAGTCTTTTATAATATTAAAATTTGATTTATTTACTATCTTTGATGGCAAGTTTATTCATCTAAATTGATAATAAAGTAGTTCAAGTAAATTTTGAATGTATATCTGTAAAAGGTCAGGACATATGCACTTTAACCTACTCATAATGAGAGGGTTAATCAAGCATATGAAGAGTTGCCTTTCTGAAACAGATGGAGGCTTATCTTATTCAAGGACAGACACACGTGATGAATGACAACTGGTCACAGATCTACAAAACAGTATTTAACCTTAAGTGTCACCAAAGATTCTTTCTTTTCAAATTTTTAGACTTAACTGTATTTGAAGCTAATATGCAAAAAATTTAAACCAATCTACAAAAAAAAATGACAGGAAGCATACCTTCTTTTAGTATTGGTGTAATTTCTGCTTGATATCTTGATCCAACTCTTATTTCTCCTTTATCAGCTAAAAGTGTCTTCTGATGAGGGTCAAACACTAATGTATAGAAGAAACAGTCCTGAAAAAGAAAATAAAAATGTCAAGCACAAAAGTGCAGAATAATGAATCTTACAGGAAGGAAACATTATTGAACACTAGTGCAAAAGAATGCAGCCTAAAGAGAGAGAGAGAGAGAGAACAAGAAACAAAATCATTGCAAACACTCAAGTGTATAAGAATGCACCCGAGGGAAGGGAAACAATGTCAAACACGCAACAGTGTAGAATAATGTTTCCTAGAAGAGAAAAAACAATGTTAAACACTAATGTGTAAATAATACATCCTAGAAAAGAAAAGCAATACTGAGTATTAGTACAGAAGAAAGCATCCTAGAGAAGAAAGGATTATATGATACACAGTTTCAGAAAAAACTTAATTGGAGAATAAAAAACCAAAAATAAAATATCCACGTTAATAGAAATTTCAAACATTTAAGCATATGTAGACTCGGGGGTGGCCAATTTATATCACTCGATGCCCAAGACACCAAGTTGTGTCAGTGACAACAGATTTCTGTTATACTTTGGCCTTGGAATAAGTACTTTTTTTGACTTTATTATTTTTAATACAACTTCAAATTACTGTCATTGCCATCATAACACTAAAACAGCAGTGCCACACTTCAAATATATACTGCATAAATAAAAAAAAAATCAATAAAAATATACTTTCTATCTCATATACAAATGCTAGCCTTTAAAAAATGCTTTCTGAAAATCAGCATTTTTAATTGTAACACCCACTTTTTAAATTAAAGAGTAACGCATCCTCTATAGTGTATAATACTACATTTGAACACCATGTGCACGTGCAGTGATAAACGGGCAACTAGATACCTCAAAGCTATACATTAAGCTTGTGTACTGTTGAATATTTATAAATGGTAAATGATTTATTTACTTATCAGTCACCCGTTGCAGCGATACTGTGTACAGTTTTCCAGATGTTTTATCCCTTAAAATTCAGTATTGTTTTACATGTTCATACGTGTGTTTATAACGAGGAGAGCCTTAGGTGATGCATCTATACACAATTACTAAGGAAATAAATAATCCTAACTCGTAATACTATTTATTAGGCAAACACATACTGAGCCAAAGAAAAACCTAGGATTTTAGATATTCTTCAAGAAGCCTAAACTTAAAGTCAAACAACATAATAATTAGAATACCTAAAATTAATTTTGTAAAATATAACTTTTGACAATATTAACTCTATCCTATAAAGATATAAATTACATGTAGTATCTATACAGTAAATAAATGTGTAAAGAAGTGGGACAGTATTGATAATGCGGTGTCTAAATACATTTCAGCAAGAAAAACTACACAAGCAAAACAGAAGGAATAACAGAAATAAAAACAAAGTCTGATGGAAATCATTATGGAAAATATAGCACTCTGCCAAATTTATTTGTAAATTAAATAATTTAAATGGCTAATCTGACATGTAATTTATATATAGCTACAGTAAAGAAACCAATATGTTCAAAAACAGAAAAATGTGATGACACTGTATGTAAATATAAATTAAAAGTGAAAAAACAAAAAAAGAAAGAAAAATTATTTTTATTTTGCCATGAGATATTTCAAATAAAGCATTAAAAAAAAGTAAAAAAGACTGATGATCAAATTGTAGATACAAATAATCCTGGAGCCCAAAACTCTACAAACAGGTTTAGATCAACTGAGGAATTGGACAAATATTTGGCAAATGACTTTAAATTATAGTTAGTGAAAGGCAATGCATTTGGATTACATGTTTAATATAGATGGGAAACCACTCAGTAATGTGAGAGAAGAAAAGAATCTTGATATAATTCACTCAAGCCATTAAAGCTGTGCTCTGTTGCCAGAATTTTAAGGTGTATTTATAGACAAATTGATTACTAGTCAATAGAGGTGATTATCTCTTTTCAAGTCACCATTACACTTTACATGGAATATTGTATACAGTTTTAGTCTCTTATATAATAAAAGATATTGACTTATTAGAAATGATTCAGAGGAAAGCAACTAAAATTATTTCAGGAATGGAAGGTGATCTTTTAGGGATAAGTTAAGATCTTTCTCTCTTGTGAAAAGAAGAGTAACAGAGGGTGTTACTAAAAGATTATCCAGAGGGTCAATAGGATAAAAGCCTCCAATTTATATGTGCGATATTCTAGGATGAGAGGACACAAGTTTACGATTCATAAATTACAGGATAGGCTTCAGTTAAAAGGTATGTTTTTTTTAAAAGATAACAGTGACATATGGAATAAGTTACTGTAGGCAGTGGTAGAGACTAAACTCTAAGGGAATTTAAGAGGAGAATGAGGAATTGATGATTTGTTGAAAAATGGGAGAGTTTATATGTTTACTCTTATTAAAGTTAAGAGTGGGAGGACAGTCTTTAATGATCAAATGGTTCCTTGTTGTCTGTAGGTAATGTTAAAACAAATACAGGCAAAATATCTAAACAAGAAACACGAAGAGAATCTGTGTGAGAGACTTGCTCAAAGCCATAAGAAAAAAAAAACAAAACACATTATAGATTGGTGTCAAGTACTTAATCTAGACATTAATCAAAAATGAAACACTAAGAACCGGTTAAAAGATGTGGAAATAAAAGTCAACTACAAGAAATCAATGTCAATAAAAAGTAAAAGGAAGAAAATATCTTCATGAAGAAAGCAACTATTTCACACTTATCTGCAGAAGAAAAATATTTGAAGAGAAACAGAAACCTATGTGATATGTGAAGACACGAAGAAGAAAGACATCACAAAATGCTAACCTCTTTGTTCAAGTATGAGGCCATGGACTCGGTTTCATTTAGCAATGTGACTGTGCACTTCCCACGGATGTGTGTGGCTGGCAATGTTTCAACTTGTCTTGATAAGAACAGTTCCCTATGTTTTAGTTGATGACGATCTCTTTCACTTAGTAGTTCAACCTCTTGTTCCTGTTCCTCATCTAAGGCACCTGAATTAAAATCATTAATGATGACAGTTCCATATTTCCAGACAGAAATACTATATCACTAACATTGCTACAAATCTTACTAACATGTTTTCTTAAGACTTTTAGTACACTTTTACATTGTAATCAATCTCATGCTCATTGGAACAGATTAGAAAACAACAGTAACTTCACAAATTTTAAAAATACTAAAAGTAAAACTTGAAGGACCCATAGTGTATTTCTTAGAATTATATTTAAAAAAATCATTAATGTAGCCAAAACCATAATAATTTATATAAAAAAGTTAAAAAAATTCAATTAAAAACCATTATTTTACACCCATAAGTTTCAAACAGTATTTACTTGACAGTGTTGTATGAATAATTACTTCAAACCCTCAATGTGTAGTCTGTTTTATATATCACCAAATAACTTGGACTGATCAATAATATTAAAATTTTGATAAAAATATAAATATTGAGTGTGTGCATACAGGGTATAGAAAACACCACATTTTTGGTTTTATTCAAATATCAAGGCTGTTAATGCACTATAAAAAAAAGAGCTATATTATCAATAGGTAACTGCACCAGACCTACACCGCTATTCTGGATGACAAAACATTATACTGAAAAACAAAACTAATATGAAAAATGATTCACATGCTCATATCGAGCTAACAAACAAAAAACTGTTGAAGCAAAGCAAAAAAGCATATGTAAAATGCAAATATAATCATGTTCAGATAAAAAAAAGTTTAGTTTGCTGTGAATGTTTTAAAATTAATATTTACATCTCTACTAAAACTGCCAGTGCAGTACATGAATGATGACTTTGACTAAGAAAGTTATACATGCACATATAACTGATACAACTTTATGTAGCAAACACTGGTACACACAATGCATGACATTTATATAATAATATATAAATAGTTGGCATACTTTTCTCATCCAGGGTTTCAGCCAGGCCTAGAACAAGACCGTTAAACAGTTAAACTAAAATAACATAAAAGTTAACAGTACCAAATATATATATATATATATGTGATTTATTTTGTTTTGGAAAACTTGAATTTCAATGAAGCCTACAAAATACTCACATTTAACATATTAAACCCACCTAAAAAACAACTTTATTTCACTAAAAGGTTTCATTAATATACCAACAGCAATAATAAAACTAAAAAGTCCTTATGCTGAAAATTTTGAAAATATGTTTATATGACTACAGCATTCATAATGAACAGTTAAATTCCATGAACATTTCTATATAAAAAAAAAATCTAGAATTAGTAAACATTAACAATATAT